ACAAAATTCCATAATTAACTAATAAATAAAAAGTTCATAGTTCATTACATTTGTTGATAAACAAACAAAATAAATAAAAAGTCTATCGATGTTTTCGTCTTGAATGTGTTTTCATGGGTGATGGATGTCTATTTCGATAAGGGTTTCTTCGTATAACTTGTTTTTCCTCCTCGCTCTCATCATCATCAGTAGAAGCTACATTTTGTTGATGAGAGACGGATGACGATGTAGCACCTCCATAGAATAAGGACCCTGGAAGTGTATGACTAACCATCCCACCGCTCATAGACAACTGTGAAAACTGCGAAAACATCGACATTGATGACTGCATCCATGCTGAGCTGAGGTGTTTGTGTTTGTGGAGAAGCACCCCCACCAAATAAGTAACATATGAAGTCCATGTTGGATCCATAAGCATGCCAGTATAATATCCGTCAAGAGGTGTCATAAAACCCTACGGTGGTGGCATTTGAATCGGTTGTGGTGGCGTCTAAAATGAATATAATGCCATCTAAAATTATTGCGGTGCCATCTGAACGGTAGTGGACCAATGTATAGTGGTGCGTTGGGCATTTAAACTAGTATAAATGGTGAATGATGTGATGGTTTTGGTGCTGCAGCTGAGGATGAGCCGGAAGCGCATGCTCTCCATCCACGAGTGGGGGGACGATGATGCTGTGACGGTGGACGCTTTTCTCTTCACTGATAAATGCTCCTGCCTCATGCTTCCTCGGAAAGTAAGAATGGGTTCATGTTCGTGTTGAACTACTGATAATAGTTAGCCACAACCGAATAATGATCCATATATATCGGCTTTGTACGGGGAATGCATCGACGTCGATCCTCCCAGATCATTATCCACTCGTTGTGCTTGATCAGCTAGTTGACATTCTTTTTACCCCGTCTATCGACGTTATGCATATTGTCGAGATTCCTATGTTCTTTAGGAATATATTGTATGAATCCAAATTGGTGGATCACACGATCAGTAGGATGCCACTCGACAATAGCAAAACATATCAGAGGAACTACCGCCATTCATACATCTTGAGCCACTCAAGTGAGGTCGGATGCAAAGCCTCATTTCTTCAGTAGAATAAGGAGCCCATTGAAATTAATATATATATATATATATATATATATATATATATATATATAATATATATATATATATATATTATATAACGACAATTAAAGATAAATAATAAAATTTAAATACATACCTCAACTACACCAGCCTTCTGATCAATGAGTGACCGAATTTCTTCCAATTCGTCTGTTATATCATGATGATTTCTCCTTGTATATGACAACATATTCAATGTAAAAAAAATATTTCATTATATACTCAAAAACATTATTTATATACGAACTTAGTATTGAAATTACCTCAACAATAACAGGAAGACCAACGAGATATTCACGATCGGACATAAAAAATGCATGTGATACCCGCCCATGAATGGAGAAGAATGACACATCTGTCGATAGTATTTTTTTTATAATTAATTGTTTGATACATTTCTCTATATAGAGATACCAAAACTGTAGAGCCCCAATTGAGTGAGTTGACAACGTGAAAATCTTTGAGATGATGCAACTACATACAATGAACTTGGTTGCGAGATTTGTCGGGCATCAAGATCCCTCCTATGAGTTGTTATATGCAAGCCCCAGCAAATATTTTAACATGTTCCTCGTGACAGTATTCACTCAAGGCAACCATAATAACGGTATTCAACCACTGTTGAAATTAGGTGGGATACCTCCAAGATACTTATTGCACAAGGAATGTCAATCACCATCTACCAAACCAGAAATAACACCCCATTTACTGGAAGCCCCAAATGTATGGAAACATCCTCTAGCGTAATAGTGCACTCCTCACAAGGAAGATGGAATTTATGTGTCTCTGGGTCTCCACCTCTCAACCAGTGCAGAAATAAGGTTGGGTTCAAGGTTACATTGCCCTTCATATTTCACTATGTAACCGAATACAGCCTCGGCTAAATACGACCAGACACGACTTGATATCTCTAACTTAGCGTTATAAATAAATAAATCTAATATACGGTCATTCCCCTAATTAAATAAATAGTATACAAATTAAAATATAAATTAATACTAAAAAAATAAAACATTCACAATAATTAAAATAACATAATTTAAAATTATTACCGTATCGAAAAAATGACTCGAGATATGATTCTCATTTAAACGTAGCAACCCGCCTTCCATTTTATAACTGCAAAAAATAAAATAAAATTAGTACACTAAAAAATAATAAAATAATAAACTATTAAATGATTATAATATAATAAAAAATTTACCTTATAAAAATAATAATAAAACCTACTTAAAGCTTGATAGAATGATTGATAAAAGGAAAAATGATAATTTTGTGTGTGGTTTGAGGGTTGTATGAGGGGGTATTTATAGGGGAAGGGGAGGGGACGGGTGGTATTAAAGGGGGTATGTGATAATTAAGGGGAGTGGGCGGTATTAAAGAGGGTATTGATGAAACACATGCCTCATGATCCGCGTCTTCCCCCACGTGTAAGATTTCCCCGCGAAGCCGTACTTCGTGAGTTGCGTCTTTCCACCGTGGCACCAGCTCAACCATAACCCCAGGAAAGCACGCTTACTGATCCACGCCTTCCGTCAACTTTTCAGAAAGGGTGGTAGATCAATAATATTTGAAGAAACAGTGTCTATCAGGTAATTATTTATTGTTAAGGTGATTTTTTTGGGTAAAAATGTGGTATCCTACCTCCCTTTCGTACTCCCTCCCCCTAAAAACACTCAAAACCCTTTGCTTGCGTGAAAACCCCAAGAAATGGTAAGCTATAACAATTATAATATAGTAATTTGGAATTTAAATTTTATGATTTAGAGATTTAGGGTTCTAAGAGATTTGGGTAGTGACGAGAGATATGATTGATAGTAGGAGCTTGTAGACGAGTGTAGGTGATCAGCGACAACGATAGTGATCGAAAATAATCGACGAGTGGGTTGATGTTTTCGAACTAAGAATTTTGGGACTTTTTGAGATTTTAGAGAAAATATACATTTTTTTTAAAGTAATAATATTTTTTAAAAAGAAATTATATATCAGAATATGATATGTGTCACTTAATGAAATTTTTTAATGTCATCAAGTTCATGACACTTTAAAATGGTACTGTTTGTAATAATACTAGAGGCTTAAATTATCGAAAAATAATTTATGTACTTAAATAAAAAAAGTGTTATAGTTTAGAAATTTATTTTTATATTAAGTTTAAATTTATCTATATTTAAGGTTGACAAAAAGAGAGTTTTTAGAACTATTTTTTCTTAAAATTCCTTTGAAAATCAAATTCGAGCCTAAAAAAACACAAATTTTAATATTAGCAATAATAATAATAATGAGAATTTTTGGTTCACGCAATGTAAAATTACCTTTGGGAATAACATTACTAGAATGTAACATTACCATGATAATGTTGTATTACCTTGTTTGGTTTGTTTAGAAAGAATGTAAAAATATAATGTTTCGTTATAAGAATATAAGATTACTTGAATGCATATTTTACCAAATTATCCTTGTGATATATGTTTTTTTTTTTAAAGTTAAACTTCAATATCAAACTATAAATATTTGAACGAAAATTTATATAAATATTTTAATTGTTATTTATCTAACTTTTGAGAAAAATACATTTAATATATATTTAGTATATTAAACTTATATTTTAAAATAATTTTCTTAAGTATCATATTTATTTATATAAAATATAATATAATATAAAAATAATATTACGATCTCGATTGGACAAAGATATTACTTTTTTAATATATAAGATTTATTTTTTAATAACTTAAAATATGTATTATTTTAAATAATTACATTTTTACAATCATATTATTTTTCACTAGATAAAATTATAAATAATTAATATATTGAATATTAAAAATATAAAATAATTTTAAATACTCAAATTTGTTAATATTTTACTAAATTAAACTCTTTGTATATTATTATTATATTTATAATTTTGTGTAAAGTACAAAAAATTAAGAATTGAAAAGTATTATTATAAAAAAAATTCGTTAGTCTAGAGCATTCTTGTCCAAAGTGGTGAGAATTGTCTAATACCAAAGAATTTGTAAGTAATAACATTTCCACCATTCTAACAAAAAAAATGCTACTAATGGGAAAAGAATATTTCAAGGTAATAATATTTTCCGTGCTTCAAACGTGAGAATGTAATTTCGGAAAAGATTATTTCTCTTGGTAATGCTCTTTTCTACGAATCAAACGTCCTCGAGGGTAAAATATATAAATGATCCTCAATTATAAGACGTTGCTTTGTTGAGTTCCGTAACTTTTAAAGTTATAAAATAGTCCATCGACTATAGGATATTGCTTTGTTGAGTCTCCAATTATTAAAAATTACAAAATGATCATCGAACTATTGTTTAAATTCGTCATTTTTCTTTAAAAATAGCAATTGTTTGAGTTGGACGTTAATCTGTTGATTGAGGTATGATAAAATCTCGTCTCATAATCGTTTGAGTTTTATTTTGTGGATCAACTCTTTGTTTATGACGCCGAGCCAGTGCTTGAAAGCAACGACGGTGCAAATAGACATAATTAAAATACAATTTTATCATATTCCAGTTAGCAAATTAACGTTCAACTCAAACGATCATCAGTTAACAAATGAAAAGTTAGGTGATCATTTCATAACTTTTAATAGTCAAAAGATTCAACGAAGTAACATCATATAATCGAAAAATTATTTATAACTTTTAATGATCGGGGACTTAACAAAACAAGATCTTATAATCTGACCATTCGTGTACTTTATCCTAATAATAAAATCTCAGTGAACGAGAAATTCTTCCAAAATTTTGAAAATATCAATCTCATCCACTAGAGTCAAGGTTGATATGCTATAATATAAGTATACAAAGAATATAAAATGAATACATTTAAAGGGTAATAATAATTTAGAAAGTGTGAAATCCATGGGACAGACTGATTCACCTCTAGCAACATCATATATTCATAGCCATGTGTAATATAACTTTAGAGAAAACAGCAAGGGCAGGCAGTTCAATGTGATGAAGCATGAATATCTTGGGTAAATCTACTTGAAAATTGGTCCTGCTGAAAGGGATCGTCACTAGCATGAACACAACTCAACCTGGGAGAGAAATTATACACTCTCATCTCTTCCATTTCATGCCCACAGCATCTCATTCTGGCTTCCTCTTTGAATTTCATGAAGTACATGGATGACCAATAATCTTTTGCCAAGTTCTATAATACAAAAAACATAGATGAATCAACATAATTCTCAACTCATATGCACTTCAACTTCAATGAAAATAACCCACCATTTTCATCAACTGTATCAGTTCATTTAGTGCATTGGTGAAGAGATCCGGATGTGTTAGGTCACTGGTGGTCAAGATTTCTTGCCGGATTCGATGAGATATGTTAATTTCCATTGCTGCACCTGTATGACAAATTGGGCAGGAAATTGTATGAGTTCAGAAATTGCGAGGTAAAATAAGTGGATAATCATCAAGCAACAGCAGTTCTTGCACTAAATAAAAGCTCCTGTAAGTTTCAAAATCAAGCTTCATAAATGAAATTATCAAAAAAGATTGACACTGAACTATTGATTTGATCCCTTGGAGAATATTTATATTTTACTGAAAACTATGAAAACAAATGTTCTTGCATGAGAGTAAGAAATCAAACCTAGCTTCAATCTTTTCAATACCTTCACATATACATTTACCTAACTTTCCAACCAAAGGACAAGACCAGTGCTAGAATTAAGTTCAGGAGGATCTGCAGTATTTCAACATTTTTAAGGACTTTGGAGCAGAATTAAGTTTGATGGAGAAATGAAACATGAAAAATGGCATATCTTTGCTTTTCAATTACCAGCCGTCGTAATGTTCTTCGTGGACGTTAATAGTTCAAATGTCTTTCGCGGGTTTGCACAATTTTTAAAAAAAGTTTTGACATGTCTTCATACCTATTTCCAGATATTGCATCGGGTAAAGGGTATCTGACACAAGTACTTCAAAGAAAATGAAAAGTCAGAGCAACACAGTTCTACATGCATTCTCTCTGTTAATAATGTCTAATAGATAGAACAGTTCATCCTCGTGCCAAAAATAGAAAACAGGGTAAACCAGTTTCTTCAGCATTTTGGCACCAAAATGACCTAAAAATACAAAAAACATTTACGTTTGTATCATCATCTATAAACCATTGGAGAAGAGCCAATATTCTACATGTGGAAGATAGAAAAGGTAAATTTTAAGTTGCATGGACCTGTCCATATCAAAAGGCTTAAGATGGGAAATAATGAAGATTAAAGTTTGAGAGTACTTCCTCGAAAATAAGAAGGTTGAATTGAGATTTTGATATAACAATATTTGTAAAATTAATTTTGAATTTAATTGAATTTGTTAAAAATTTATCAAAAATAATTCAAAATTCAAATTAACTTGAAAAAGGATCAATCCCTTGGATTCAAGTAGGTTTTGAATCGATCCCTTAACCAAAAGGATCGATCCCTCTCTTGGAACAGTCAAATTATTTGAAAATGATCGATCCCTTCCCCTAAAGGATCGATCTCTTGTGCATTAAATGTTTTTTTGTTGTTGTAGGTAACGACTATAATGATCCCCAACAGCTAGAACTGATAGAAAAAGTATAAATTGAAAGTCAAAGTTTCTCAAGTTCAACAAGAAACGTATTGAACAAACCTACCAACATCAAAGTTTTACTTTGTGCTTAATTTGTAAAATTCTTTGTGGTAAACACACTTGTGAGCTACATTGTTTATTTTGTTCAAGTGTGTATTGGGTGAGCTTAAATTGTGCAAACATATTTTCCTTGTGAGGTTTTCTCATTTGTTTGCTTTATTTGTATTTACTCTTTAGAAGAGTGTGTATTCAAGGTTGAGTTATAAACCTTGAAGTGTTTGTAAGGTTACATCTTGTCCTTAAAAGTAAGCAAATCTAGCGAATTTGAGAAATCTTTAGTGTGAATGCTAAATCGTTGTGCAAATTTTTCTATTGCTTCCACAATTTTTTTAAAGGTCAATTCACCCCTCTTGGCATATTTCAATTTTTCGTAAGAGTTAACAATTGATATCAGAGCGGGTCTCTATCGACGGTCTAACAATCTTGAGAAGGTTTTAGGATATCTCTATCAAATTCTACAATCAACCAAGAAAGATGGGTTATACTTCTGACTAATACTATCTCGAGGATTCACACTCCATCGCTAAGTCACCCTACTTCAAAGGAGCAAATTATTCCTATTGAAAGAATAGGATGATGTTGTTCATTCAAGCCACCGACCTTGTGGTTTGGGATGCTATCATTGACGGTTCTATCGCTCCTCCAAGAAATCTTCGGAATGGACAAGTGAAGATAGGAAGCTTGCCCAAATCAATGCTAAAACCATGCACATTCTTTTTTGTGCACTTGGCCCGGACGAATATAGTAGAGTATCTTCTTGCTCTATTGCTAAGGTGATATGGGAGAAGTTGGAGTGATCCATGAAGGAACTAGCTAAGTAAAGAAGTCCAAGATTGACATTCTCACTCTCTACTGCAAGAACTTCAAGACGAACCCCAATGAAGACATTAAGATGAAGTCCGATCGGTTTCCTTTAATCGTAAATTAGTTGCAGAACTTTAGGAAAGTTTATCCCAATGAAGTAGTAAGAAAGATGCTTGCCTCGTTGCCTACATCTTGGGAAGGCAAAGCTACCGCCATCAAAGAAGCCAAGGATTTGAAATTGTACACCCTCGATGAGCTCATCGGTTCATTACTCACTCATGAGGTAAAACTACAAAAAAAGAAGGAAGAGGAAGAGAAAAAAGAAATAAAAAAACAAGTTGGTGTTGCTTTAATATCTTTTACACGTAAAGAATACAATTTCGATGAACAGCACAATGAAGAAGATGAAGAGATGGCCAAACTCTTCAAGAGATTCAAAGATTCATGTCATCCAAAGATAAAAAACGAAGCATGAACCGAAGAAAGATAAGGGTCTCATCATATGCTACAATTGCCAAAAACCGAGACATGTGAAGTATGATTGTCCCCAATTGAAGAAAAAGGGATCACATAAGCCAAAAAAGGGCTTTTTTTGGTACTTGGAGTGATGAGGAAATCACTGATGATGAATAGGATAAAGTAGCCAACCTTTGCCTTATGGCCATCCAAGAAGATTCAAATGTATCTTCTAACTCAAATGAATTAAATTCATATTCTTTTGATGAGTTACAAGATGCTTACTAATACTTGTCCTACAAAGAAAATAAAATTTATAAAATAAGACAAATATGGGTTCATAAGGGAACTAGAGGCATTGAAACTAATAATCAAGGACCCAAAGCAATTTGGATACAAAAAATCAAGAAGTATCTCTTATAGGTGTGTTGGAGCAATGGTGAGCAATGTCAAGTTATTTGGAGGCTCTAGACACACTAAGGAATTACACTTGAAGAAAGAGAGGCCTAACAAATCGATCTTTATTCAAGTGGTAAAAAGTTTAAATTTCATGCAATTTCATGTTAATTATGTGATTTTATATGTTGCATGATTGTGTCCCCACATAGTGCTTAATTGCAATTAGTTAGGAGGAATTATTATTGCATGAGTTGCAATTTTATGGCTTTATATGCTTATGATGATGATTTTGGCCTTAAATTTGCAATACTTGATTTTTGCTTTGAAATCATGTTCTCAATGCTTTGTATTGATTATATATGTTGATTTTGAGAATATGATGTTTAAATGTAGCAAAAATTGAAAATATGCATGTTTAGGATCTTTAAAGTCATTGTATGTTTGTGTGACTTGATTTGGACTATAGTTGTGCAAATTATGGACTAAATTGATCAATAATAAAAAATTATATAATTTGATATTTCAAGTTGACATTCATGCACATTTAGTATCCTATAAGTCATTAAAATTAATTTCATATCAATAATACGACTTAGGTTGCATCAAATTCAAGTCTAGTGTCATCCAATTTGGTCCTTCGAATAAAAATGCAATTTTCCAAAGAAAGGATTGATCCCTTTAAGAAAAAGATAGATCCCTTTTGCCTTTTTCAAAATGATTGATCCCTTTTTGTGATGGATCGATCCTTTTAGACCAAATGTGTAGGAAAATGTTATTTTAAGTCAAGTTATGCACATTTCAACCTGTCCAAGCCTTATTTCAAAGCAAAATACCCAAAAATACTCCCAAATTTGAATTTCTTCAAAAAACTTCATATTGGATCAATTTTTGAAGAATCAACATTTTGGGTAAGATTTATCAAAAACCCTAACTTTTCAAATTTTTTTAAAATTCGAACAAATTGGGTTGAATTTAGTGGTTAGAGAACAAATTTTAAATTGTTTATTACTTGTTTTGTTTTAGGGAGCATCACCCATAATCAAAATTTTTCAAAAATCCAAAATTTCTATCTTACACCCACAAGGTTTTTGATAAAACTCCCCAACCAAAACCATCTCCAAAACCATCGATTATACCATCTTTTTAACCTTAAAAAATCGTTTTAATTCTTCCTAAATTATTTTTAAGCATCCTTTAAACATCTTTTTTGTTCAAAACACTTTTTCTTTAAAATTTTTGAAAATGTCAAAAAGAAAAACCATGGTTTTTAAAGGGGTAATCCACAAGCAACACTCAAATTGATTCTTGGATTGACCAATGTTTTAAATCCACCAAAGCTCGTGAGCGTTTTGACTCATTTTTTGCATATCAATCAATTAAGGAAACTTGAAAAAATCAATTTTGAATTTTTAGACAAATTGGATTTTCCTTACAAGCAAAATTTGAAATATATGAAACTTTTTGATTTTCTCAATTTCAATGGCCCTACTTATCATTCCTTGGTTCAAACTTTTTACTCAAATGCTCATGTGTCATCTGCCTCTCACAATGGCACCACCTATCGAACCATTGTTTCTTATCTTATGGGTCATACCATTACAATTACCGTCTTTTGACATTCCTCTCACCGGTGATGACAATTTAAAGGGCTCATTTCCTCCCAAAATGCGTCTTGTAAACAATAGAGCCACTCTTTTCTTCTTTAATGACCGTTTGTTTCATCTTATTGTAACTCATTGCATCCGTGCTCGTGGCACAAAATTTTCTACCGTCCGCGAGAGTGACAATTGATGGATGTTTGCATCCAACAAAGTCGCAAGCTTCACATTGCTAGTATGATCTTAAACGATATCGTGAGTGTCATCAAATCGAAGGCTCGACCAAACCTTGTCTATGGAATGTATCTCAGTTACTTGTTCGAGTTTCTTGATATCGACACATCTTACGAGCCTGACACATTCCCTTCCGATGAGAGGACCATTGGTCGTGGCACTATGACGAAGATCGGCTAAATGGAGGAGCCCGAAGGATCAATGCGTTGGGTCTGTAATCTCCACGGAGAGAAAATGGATGATGACCATGATAGAGATGAGCATATGGATGGTGCACGTGATGACGGCTTTGGCGAGGATACCGAGAGAGCTACTCATGTAGACCCGGTAACTCCTGCAAATTTCAATCGAGCTTTTGAGGAGAGGATGTTTCAGTCTACTAGTTCTCTCCAAACTCACGTCGACTCCCACTTTGATGCGATCGAGCACCGTCAAGATGCGTTAGAGACTCGTATGATTGAGGGTTGAGAGTTCCAACATTAGCTTGACTGATTTTCCTTCCCTCTTTCATCACCATCTTAGTTCATGCATGCATATCATGTCATCTTTACATCTTTAGACTTTCCTACATTTGGATATTTGACTTTTGATGTTTGGTATTTTAAACTTATGTTTATTTGATATTTGGATGATTTTCATGTTGGATATTTGAACTTAAATGCATTTGAAGTCTTGGGATATTTTCGCTTTCGGTACCTTAATATATTTATTCTTGATTTTAGCTTATTTTAATTACTTTATCTCTTTTGTTATATGATACTAACATTGCTGAATTATTTTTGGTATAACAAAAAGGAAAGAAGAAAGTATAAAATGAAAAATGATTTTTCAAACTTAAAAATTTGAGCTTAAATTTTTCACAAATTCTCAAATTGTTTTATTTTTTTCAAAGGGAAGTATTTTTCAAAAACAATTTTTCAAAAGGTTTTGCTACATCAAAAAGAGGAGATTGTTGAATTGGGATTTTGATATAACAATAATTTGTAAATTAATTTTGGACTTAATCGAATTTGTTAAAAATTTATAAAAAATAATTCAAAGTCCAAATTACCTTGAAAAATATGTTTTAAATGTTTTCCAACTTAGTTAAGTTGAATTGAGATTTTGATATAACAATAATTTGTAAAATTAATTTTGGACTTAATTGAATTTGTTAAAAAAAAATTTCAAAGGATCGATTGTTTTCACGCTTTAAAGTTAAGTTTCTAAGGATTTTTTGCTCAAAAGATCGATCCCTCGATGATAAGGATCTATCCTTTCTCCTAAAGGATCCCTTTCTTGCAACGGTCGAATTATTTGAAAAATGATCGACCCCTTTCACAAAAGGGTCGATCCCTTGTGCATTAAATGTTTTTTGTTGCAGGTAACGACTATAATGATCTCCAACGGCTCCAAGCAACTAGAATTGATAGAGAAGGTATAAATTGAAGGTCAAAGCTTCTCAAGGTAAACAAGAAACATATTGAACCAACCTACCAACATCAAAATTTTCCTTTATACTTAATTTGTAAAATTCTTTGTGGTAAACACACTTTTGAACTACATTGTTTATTTTGCTCATGAGTGTATTGGGTGAATGCTTAAATTGTGCAAGCATATTCAGCTTGTGAGGTTTTCTCATTTGTTTGCTTTATTTGTATTTACTCTTTGGGAGGTATGTATTCAAGGTTTTAGGGTATAAACCTTAAAGTGTTTGTAAGGTTACACCTTGTTCTTAAAGGTGAGAAAATCTAGTGGATTTGAGAAATCCTTAGTGTAGATGTTAAGGTAGTAGATGTAGACTTGGTTTAAAAATCGAACTACTCTAAATCATTGTGAAAATTTTTCTATTTTTCGATTGCTTCCACAAAAATTTTAAAAAGGCCAATTCACCTCTCTCGGAATAATTCGGTTGTTTGTAAGAGCTAACAAAGAACAAACCTGCTATTATGTATTTGTTAATGATATGACGCGCCATGTAGATCCTTCTTACTGGGTCATCTATTGGAAGTTTGCCAAGCTCGTGCACCTCATCAAAGAAATGCACACTTTCCCCAGCCAAACAACTGTGATCAGGAACAAATGAGTTCGATTAAAATTTTCTTTTAACCTTTTAAAGTCGCAAATAATCTGTTCTTTAGTTTACAGAATTTTGCTTGGAAAACCATTTTCCTCTATAATCAAACCGATTTAATCCAACTATTGTTTTCTACGCAGCTTGAATCGCTACAAAACACAGAATAGTCTCTGTTTCTTTGGGAAGCATAAAATAAAAAATATATAAGAAAAAGTGAGAACATGTTTTCACCGATAAGAAAGCACAAAAAAAAACCACCATAAGAAAATCTAACCGGAGCTTAGTGAAGTATGAAGTACCTGTCTGCAAATGCCATAAAAGACTGACGAAACCGTTTGTTCAGAAGAAGCTTATCCAATGGGTCATTAGGATCAACATCAACAGCCACTTCTCTTTGTAATAGCATTCCACTATCTGGTATCCCCAGAGCTTGACCCATTGTTTTGAGTTCTAGAGGTTCCCTTTTTCTCAAGCTGATTTGTGAGAGCAGAGGCTGTGAAATTGATATGGAGAAGAAAACCAGCACAAGAATGCTTGCCTGTAAAACAAACCTGAGCCATGTTAGCAAACACCAAAAAAAAAACCTTCAACAACTGACTAATGATGTAAGAACGCCTATCAAGATGCAAAGGAACAATTACCGTAAGTAAAAGAATAAATCTGGAGACCACTTGAAGCCATAAGATATCATCATGAATTTCATTTAAGATGTAAGCAGAAACCCAAACTCCTGGGAAGTTCAAAGGAGCAGAAGTACGAAAATTAAGGTCAACATGAATAAAACAAAAGAGATATCAGTAAAAACCATCCCAATCATTATTTGTTGCACCAAAGCCTGTCCACTAAAATCACAATTTTTAACAACTCCTACAATTTTGAACTCCATAAAACTATACAGTTTACACAGTGGGATCTTCGGAAGGGAGAGCATGTGGTTGAATCATGACTGATACAACAAGAGTGTATATTACGTCAAAAGCACTGCTTCTGTGTGCAATGATATGTTAAAAAAATGCTAAACCATCTCAGTTGCATGTAAGCAGTTTGCAACTAATCTTTCGAGTGTGCAAGGATGAAAAAAATGTTTCTCAGAATTTCCAACTCTAGAGAACTTATTAAAGTCCTGGCAAAATAATTTTGAATACATAAAAATCATGATAAGTATCATACACATTTTGTTTTAGTGGACCAGTTACAGAATTGCAAAATTTCTTATCAGCCGAATAGAGCATAAAAAGAAGGATTCTTTTATCAATGATGATAATGTAATGTGCAGCATATGTGGAAACAATTTGAGGAAATGTAAGCTGTGTTGGAACCGAGATAAAAATTTACCAATTAGTGATGCTGAGACAAGTATTCCTTGCCAAAGGTCTCTGAGTTCATCAAACCTAAACTCTATGTGTCGAATGGCCCCAGTGAACCCCATCAAAACGGAAACATATAATGTGTGAAGAGATACAACGGGGATTATCCAATGAGTTCCCAAGTGACATCTGTAATTGAGATGTTTCTTTTCGTGAATAACTACAAAAAATTAACACCTCTGGTTAAAAATAGAAATCACGGTTGTGTTAGAGCACAAAAGATTCAAAAAATTGTCATAAATAAGCCTGATGTATCCGTAGAAAAATTGCCGGTGTCAATAGAAAAATCCTTGACAGGTAATACAACTGCTGATAGGACAATAAGGATAGAGCAAGAAAATATACGTTTTAAGCTTTGTAACAATTATAGATGACAATTCCATATGTTAATTCAAGATATCTGTTAATGATATGTGGAAGTTTAAATAAATAGATGAAACAACTCATTGATGTTTTGCTAAAAGAGGTGCTTCATTTCATTGCAATATGTTCAACCAGATAAATAGGAAGGTTTTATACATTCTTACATGCAGCGCCTGCAACCCATGGCAAAAGAATCAATGGAAGAAACATATGAGATCTAATTGGTGGTAAACGCCTCCTGAAAAGATCAACAGCAACAAATTAACCATATTTTGCTGGAATGACATGTTTTAAATAGATAATACCAGCTCTACGAAAACTAAACATTGCAATGTGATGCAAACTTGTGGTTTGGCAGTATAATTATCTAGTAAGCAAATTGTCCAATTGCATGCAGCAAAGTTTCAAAGTAAAAATGCAGTTAAATTTATTGATTCGAGAATTAAAGGATGATCTGTAACTGAAGTACTGAACCATCTCACCAAAAATTAACAGAATTAACTGTCAGTTAAGCAAAATTAACAGAATTTAACCAAAATGTTCTTTTCCTGGTTTAAGAAAAGAGACAAAAGATCTGCAAGCTTGGAAGCACGGACACGGATACGCAGTATGACACAACATTAAAACAGCAATGGGGGAGTTTTTAAGAACTGGAGAAGAGGATGCAACAAGATGTACTACAATAAAAGAAATATATAATAATATATAATAAAAATGTAAAATTGATACTTCTCAATCAAATATTAATATGCAAATACCTTTCAATTTTTTAAAGTTGTTTTTGAATTTAAACCTTGAACCTTAAAAAACCAATTTTTAATTGTTGAATTCATACAAGGGATAAAAATGCGAACAAAAACCTTCATTGCATGTCAGGTTTTGTCCAGCCATATCTTAAAATTCCTCACATAGAAGAAAATCCACTTACTTGACAAATACATAGTATAGTTGAAATGCCTGTGCTAAGCGGCAGCTCAACAACAAACCAAATCCAAGTGGACCTTCAAGCCATACTGAAAGCAAAATATACTTTAGACTATTTCATGGAGAAATTATAAACTAAACTGTAAAGTAATTAAAGATTCATTACCTGCCCAAACATAGCATGACAACCACCAATGGCTCCTTTGGAATTTAAGAAAGTTAAGTGCCATCTGTAGAAAGCATATGATTAACAACTTCATCATGGAGATATGAATAAGTGGGTAGCAAAAAAAAAAATTGAAGTTTTTACTCTACATTGCCTTACCACAATTGATAACAGAAAGTCGAAGCTGGCAATAACTTGAATAACCGGAATCCAAAAGGCACTTCCTTTTGCAATTGGAACCTTGTGCATCAAAAACGGAAAAGTCGACTTCACAATAAGTCTGCAACAAAAGGGAAAAGACAAAAACATTCCACTGAGGCATAACATCAAACGGTTAATGACGAAACAGAACTTCCCATCTAAAGAAAAAAAAATCAGAACTTCGAAATGAAAATCTAATGAGCTATGTAAAATGGGTTTCAGCAAAGACTTCAAAGAAAAGAAATGTACGATATCATGGAGAAGATGGCGATGGAAACAGCTACATAGTCGGAGGGGCAACCGCCACATACGGCACAGCTAACCATTGTGTTTATTTTTTTTTCTTGAACAAATGATCGGAAACAGATCAAATTAAGGAGTTAATGTTGCAATTCTTGGCTTCCATGACCAAAAAGGGAAAAGAGAAAGAAAATGTATGGGATAAATGTTTGGTTTACAAAAGACACAGCAGGTCGTCGTTTTCCACTAGCACTCAGTTTCCATGGTTGGTGCTTTTCTTTTTTTAATTTGCTTCCTTTTGACCAAGGGCAATACTTTAGTGTAGCGTGTCTGAGATGTAATCTAACATCAAATTGTTTTACTTTTACTAGTTTATTCAAAAAAAAATTACCTAAGGTCAATAAAACTCGAAATCAATTCGAAAAGTTAGATCTTTTTTATTTGATTCGATTTGAAAAAACTCGAATCAAATTAATTTTAAGTTATAATTTTATTAATTCGATTTGAAAATATTTTAAGTTCAAATTGAGTTGTAAAATACAATTAGAATAACTTGAAATTTTTAGTAATTAGTAGAATGATTTTTAAGTTTGAGTTAAGTCCATCGACTTTGTATCATCACTATATATCACATATGAATAAATATACATGTACCGTATATGGTTATAAAAACCATTTAAATTTGAATTAATAATATAATAATATTATAAATATTCATAATTAAATTTAAACAGAAACTCAAAAATTGGACTTGACTCGATTCGGAAAAAAATTCAAGTCAAGTTCGAGTAATAAAATATGACTCGTCAACTCGAATAACTAGAAATTTTTTAACCCAACTCGATCGAACGCTCACTCCTATCCGATAACCAATTTTATTACTCATCAATGGCCGAATAAGGAATAAACATAATAAGGACACTTCGCTGCTAATCATTTATGGACATTTTTAATTTGATCCATAATGCTGCTGGCTTAATTCAAAATTAGTTACACGAATCACTTTTTATCAAATATTTAAAATATATTTTTAAGGTAGATATTTAAAATATTTATTTTTATTCAAATATTTAAAGTATATATATTTCATATTAAAAATATTTAGATGAGATTAATTTGCTTTTCTTTGTGATTCTTTGTGGAAGTTACAAAGTTGCAAAGCGATTTTCAAAATGTCTTCACTAATGGCACCTGTAGTGGTATTCTCTCCGACAATCATCATGTCATTTTTAATTCTAATTTATTGTATTTACAATAATGATTTCTTTTGGTTCTTTTTCTTGTAAAGAGTATCATGATCACTAGTGTTTTTAAGCTCTCAGGGTAAAGTTTTTTATTGGTCTTCTTCTCATTCTTTTTATGCATACATGGTTGATTGTTTTCCCGATGTCTTGTTCCTTTGTTCGTTTGTACAAGATAGTTCATTGATTATTGTATATATGTGCCGGATAGGATTGATGTTAAGGGGATATCGCTTTTTTCGTTGGTCATTTTGTTTTTCTTCAAGTTTCTCTCCTTCATGTATGATACTTGAAGCCGTTGATTTTTTATTTTATATACGTTGTTGCTTCACTTGTTAATGATTTGTTTATCATGCTTTCTCTAAGCAATCATTGTTATATTTTATTTTCGATAGTTATGACTTTATTTGTTCAGTCTGTACTTGGTAGACGTTTGTTAATACGACTTTCGATTAATGAAATATCCTGATTAGTTTCAAAAAAAAATATTTAGATGAGAAATTTTAATATTTTTTCTGACAAATCTGATGTGAATATAAGGTAATATATGTTGAAAGACTTTCAATTAATTGATAATAATCGCTCACACTTTGCTTACACAATACTTGAATACAAGAAGTTAAAGAATAATAACAAATCACTTAATACAGTGTGATTCATTTAATTTTAATACTTTTAAATATTTTTTAATAAAAATATATTAAATACTTAGAAAATAATATATTTTAAATATTTAATTTTAAAATAAATCAATTGTTTTTTATGATACATTCGTTTGTAAATACGCTTAATTAAAAAAATAAACGTTTATAGTAGGGATGTTAGTAGGATGGATTTTGCGGGTACCCATCTCACTTCTTGTTAGACAAAGTCGCTAAATCCAAGAATGAGATAGATAAAATAATAATTATATAATATTGAAATATTATAAAATTAAGGAGATAAAGAATAAGTTTACTCAATCTTAAGATTATTAGAAGTACAACAATAAGATATTATAATCACACCTGAGAAGATTGTTGACACTCGTTTTCGTTTAGGCTTATTTTTTATTTATTTTTATTTTATTATTATTATATATTAATAATATTTTTTTGCAGGCCATTACAAAACCCAAAACTGGGCCCAAATCTAATTACAAACCCAAACCAAAAAAACCTAGCTAACCCTAACCCCCATCATCCTACTACTATCGTCGCCTCCTCACCTACCGTTGCCGCCACTGTCAGTCGAAACCTGCTGCCACCGTTACTGCCAGTCGGTCACATCACTAAACCACACCTATTCTAAAACAGTGAAAACAAATCAAATCAAATAATAATAATAAAAAAACAAATCTACTGAAATCAAACACTCACCAGATTTTATAGGGAGACATCATTGAACGTCTACCCTAGCTCTACCAAATCAGTCACCCTCACCATTAAATGACCCAACAGAAGCAAATTAAAAGGGGGAGAAGAATCACGAAGGAGATTTTAGGAGAGAATAGAGCATATTCGAGGAGGAATTCGAAGAGAGAGAGAAGATAAGAGGGAGAGTTCGAATAAAAAAAAAGGGAGAGACCAGAGTCAGAGAGAAATTGGGGGGGAATAGGTAGAGAAAAGATGCGAAAAAGGGGAAACTGTAACCATTAGACTAGAACGGGAAAAAGACCCAATCAAACAATAAACTAAAAGGAGAGATTTCCAACGGGGAGAAGGGTGATTCGAAGCGAAGAACGAAAAAAAGAAAGAAAACAAGAAAGAGAGAGAGAAAGAAAGGGACATACCTTTTCGTGGAAGCCACTGTCGATCTCTTGAATCGGAACCAAAGTCTTTAAAACTGTAAGGTATTTTCGTCGAAAATCCCTTAGATCAATGGTTGCATGTGGAGTTTCTAAAGGAGAAGGCCACCGAACTGAGGTTCGATGGCCATTTGAGTGAGACCTCTCTTTGGGGTTTTCTCCCAAAATAGAAAAAAGGGAAGTGAGGGGAAGAAGAGCATAATGACGCTAAAAGGGGAGAAGATTTTATAGAGCTTTCTTGGGTTTCTGAACCCCAAAAGGGATTTAATGCATTCCCAAAACACTGTCGTTTAGGGGAAGTGTGATCCGCCTCCTTGTGGGTTATTTACACATGTGGTCCTTCTTTATTTATATTTTTTTGTTTTGTTCATCTATGTTTTGTAATCTTGCTTTTTAGTCACTAAATAAGATTTTATTCTTATGTTTTGATCTTTGAATTTTATTAGGATTACATTTTAGTCATTATTTGCTTACTGATGCATGGTGGCTTAATTCTTAATTCTACTTATTAATTTTTAGTTCATTATATTTTAGTCCTATTTGCTTGTTACATGTTCAAAATTGTTGTGTTTATGCTTAAGTCCCCTCAATTTAGCTTCATAATTATCCTAGTCACTATGATAGTTTATTTAAGTTTGAAACAATGTGGATTAATATTTTATCACTCCTACTATTCTTCTTATGTTTGAATTTGGTTATTAGATTATTCACCTTTTACTAGTTAACCATTTATGTTTGTTATTTTGTACATTTTAGTCCCTGTACTTTTCATAGTTTTATTTTAGTTTATGTATCATCATTATTATTATATTTTTATGTATTTTATACTTTATTATATATATATAAAGTACGAATATATGATATAATATTATATGTGGACTATATCTTGTTATTTAAAAATGTCATTTTTATTTTATTATACATGTAAAATATTTTACAAATACTTCTTAATGTTTTGGATATTTATAAAAACTTTGATGATCGACTAACCTATGGAATACCTCCAAAAATCTGAAGTGTCTTCCAAGGATTATTTGAATAAAGTGATATTCTATATTTATTCATATTTAAAAATAGAAAATATATATAGAAATGCTTTATTTTAAAAATATATTCTTATATGTATTTTTTTAAATATCTAGTAAATGAATAATTATTATTATTTTATTTACTTATGTATTTATTATTATGACATTGTTTTATTCTATTTAGTTATCTGTCATGGTTTTATTTTGTTTTATTTATTTTTCATGTTATATTAGATATTTCATACATCATGCATATGATATTTATTAATGTTTTCATTCATAAGTTATGCACTTATTTTTTATTTTTAAAAATATTCAAAGACAATGTTGTATTGTGTCATAGGTTAACGAAATTATATCTAACAAGATTGGATTTTAATTTCTATTAGTTTACATAGTAAGGGGATACTCTTTTCAAATAAAGCTGAGTGAATTAAATAATCTTTTATCGAGTCAAGTGTTTTAAAACAAATAAATTCACTGATTTTAAAATTCATTGAAATAGAATGATTATAATTTAAATTTTGGATTTGAATGTATAAAGTTTCACTACTTAAACAATATATAATCGAGAGGTATTAATTTTGGATTTTGTGGGGGTGTTTGCCCTTCTCAACGCGTAATTGATTCTCGAACACTTTAAAAGATATTTTTAGGTATTCGATCTATCTAATTTAAAATCGATCGCGACTCCAAATTTCAAATTAAATTAAATTAAATATTTCAATTTTTCAAAATAAATTCATAATTATTTTAAAATTTTAATTTATTTAAAAAATAGTTATAACAAAGATAAAACAAACAAAATTAAACTTCTTAAATAATAATAAAATTAAGTATAGAAAGGAATGTTTTATCCGATAGATCAATTGATTGAAAACAATTGAGGTCTATTTTTACACAGTTTTCTTAAGATACGTTTCTGATAATTCCTTTGGTGCTTAAGATTGTTGATCATCTATCTTTCAAGATACAAAAACTAGATGATCAGTTACAGTAACACATTAGTAGAGATCATAAATTATCCTTTAGATATTTAATTTTAAAATATATCAATTATTTTTTATGATACATTCGTTAGTAAATCTCTACGGTTTAATAGGAAAGTAAATGTTTATAGTAGGATCGATTTTGCGGGTACTCATCTCA